TGCTAGAACTTTCAATACACACAGGTAGCAAGAGATTTCTTCTCAAAATTGATTTTCAGACTCAAGTTGCTGCCTTACAGTAAGGAAATGTTTCTCCTTTTTTATCTTGCTCTTGTTCTAGTGAGTCAGATAAATAGGAGTCAGTAACACTGGGGGAGGCAGAAGTCAAGTTCCTGAGAAATCAACACCAGAAAATACATTTTTGGTTTATCCCCTACACTCCTTGATCACTATAGTGAAAGGCTTCTATTTACTGAGTTTTAGAATTCTCTGGAACTATTTTTAGCAGTGTCACTGTCGTCTCAGCCACCGTCTCCCATTTATTACTCTGAAATTGCAGTATTATTTATTATCATCCCATGTGCAGTGAAGCGGCATCTTGCATACATCACACACTTTTACAGTTTAATATGGGAGCCTCACTGTTATTTTCTGGGAGCAATAAAAAAAGGATAAGTTTTCATTCCTTGAAAAAGTATAGCTTTATTTCTTTCAGGAGCAAAACTGATCCCGTGGCAGTTAAATGTCACACTCATGCACTCTTTCTTATTTTGATTTTTACAAAACCCTGCAGAGTGGAGGCCTTGAGAGAGGCTTATGATCAGGTCATTTCTGCAGCGCTTGTGACAGGTCCAGCATTCCTAAAGCCTGCCTGTGGAAGCTGGGGGAAATCTGTTCCAAGTGGAGGATGTAAACTCTTTTCTGCTGGAGTTTATTTCTCACCCTGTTATATTTTTTTGCCCACATGGGTTGTGAATTTTCTCTGTTAAGGCTGTGGATTTTTGAACCCACTTTCATAAAGCAGTGACACGTGGAGATTAAAGTGCTGTCTCTGCATGTGAAGGAATTTCCTTGTGTTTCTGAAGCGTGGGGGGTTCTGTATGTGTGTGTGAGGTGCTCCTGATGTTCTCATGGAAGTTTTGTCAGCATTTTTCCCAAAAAGAAGAAGTGTAAGCATTAAGGGAAGGTACAGTGGTTTTGCTCCCAGCTGAGCTTGAGCTTTAGGAGGGTGTTAGGTCAAGGAAGACAATCTTGCTAAACAACTTGTTGGAAAAGCTGCAGCATCAGAGGTTAGAATATGGATATTTTTCTTAGTGGAGATGCCATTCTTTTAAAGATATGCGCACTGAATTTGTGTGTGGATGTGTGTACAGGAGGGAATGAGATAATAACTGTACATTAATTTAATGAATGCTGATTTGCAGATGTTTGTAGCAAAGCACAAGTCTGTGACCGTGTTCACAGGGGTCTGAGGATGAGGGAAGATGTGAGGATCTGACTCCATGTTTCAGAAGGCTGATTTATTATTTTATGACATATATTATATCAAACTATACTAAAAGAATAGAAGAAAGGATTTCATCAGAAGGCTGGCTAAGAATAGAATAGGAAGGAATGATTACAAAAGCTTGTCTGGGACAGAGTCTGAGCCAGCTGAGTGTGATTGGCCATTAATTAGAAACAACCAGCTGAGATCAATCCCAGATGCACCTGTTGCATTCCACAGCAGCAGATAACCATTGTTTGCATTTTGTTCCTGAGGCCTCCCAGCTTCTCAGGAGGAGAAATCCTAAGGAAAGGATTTTCCATAAAAGATGTCTGTGACACAAGTCTATTTTATCCCAGTCTATTTTATATTTTGTTATCCCATTTGCCGCAAACTGAGTCCGCACACACCCGTTACCCCCATCTGAAATCCCTGCCAGCTGGGGATGCTGCACAGCCCCTGCTGCAGGGGAGAGGGGTTTTCAGAGCTGGCTGGGATGTTTCTGTACAGTGTTCCTGCTGCACAAGTGGCTGCCAGGTTCAATCCCCTCCTGCCTGGCAGCGCTGGTGTGCAGGCTGTGAGAGGAGGGCACAGCAGGCTCACCCCTCACCAACACCTGGCAGGGCTCGCCCCGAGCTCCAAATGTGCCACTGGGAGCTCGGGCAGAGCCTCTGGCTGCCGAGGCACCAGGAGGTTGCGATTCAGGAGCTGTTCTGAGCAGCTGAACGGGGTTGTCAGCGCTCCCCTCCAAAGGCACAGCGCTGCGCTGGAGCCTTGCGCTCATTTGTTTCCCTTCCTGGCGCATCCTCGGTTCTGTGCCTGTTCTCAGCCAGGAAATAGAGCAAATGTGTAGCTGTCACCTTGTATAATGCAAATATCAAAATGCGCTTCTTGGCTGTATTGTTGCCTGATATAAATCCCATTTTTTTTTTCCCCTTCATTATATATCTATAGTGAGTGAATCCAAAGGCAGAAACGTCAGGTGTCTGGAGCTTTATCATGGGAATTCAGAGCAAAGCTCAAACATGTTTAATACCTTAATCTGAATATCCTCAGGGTGTTGAAAATGTAGCTTTTTGTTCAGTAGGATGTCTGTGAATATTTCTGAACAACTGTAATGGAGGAGATTAAGAGGGGAGGTTTCCTCCCTGGTTGTTACCTGCAGCTATTGACCTCCCTTGTTTTGGTCAAAGTGTCTCTAAATTAAAGAAATTTGCTTGAAGCTTACAATTCTAAAGTTCAACTCCTAAAGTTGCATTTTAACAGTTAGCTTCTAAAGTTTAAAATTCTGAAGTTTAATTTTAAACATGATTAGTAACTCAGAAGTGGCTGCCTTTCTCAGACCAGCTACAAACTTTGGACAATTGATGAAAGTGTCTCTGTACTTCAGTTTCCCGTCTTTAGTTAGTCTGTAACTATTTATACAGCAAGAGTATTGTGAACATTAATTCCTTACAGTTTTGTGGTGCAGCTGCATATTTTTCTGAAATATATAATTGTATGTTTGCTGCACATTGTGAAAGAACACTCAAGTAATGTCCCAGTTCCCTCAAGGGAGTTTCTGGGGAATTTTGTGTCCTATTACTGCAGCAATGTGGGTTCACCATTATTGCTACCCCAGTTTGTAGAGGTGGATGAAGTGAATTTCTATTACAATAAAAGATTCAGGTTTATGGGGTTTTTAGGTTTGATTTTCCTTCGTTCTTTTGGGGTTTTTTTTGGTATAGAAGGAGAAGAAGTAGCAAGTTAGGGTATAGACATTGCTCATAATATGATCTCCTCAACTCTTACATAGGAATGGAGCTAATTTGGATTCTGAATGCAGAAAATGCACTTTAGGTTTATGCATGATTGGGTGCTTACAAATCCTATTTCTACTGTGGTTCTGAACCTGAAAGTTCAGTTTATTCCAAGCTAAACTTTTTTCCTGCTTCAAAGGAAACCAATAGAAACAGTGCATGACACTGACAGAAAACCATAAATTGAACAAAAGCCTTAAAAATCTTGGCCTACAAATTAAAAGGCTGAATTGCTTTGACAAAGAGTATTTCAAATCTGTAAGCAACTCTGCTTCTGCTGAGGTCTGCATTATAAGGAATTTTTACCTTTGTAATGTTATTTTTCTCCTTTGAAGTTCTGCCACTCAGTTCATAAGGTAACTGCTGCTACTAATGACACTTATTTCCAGTAACTTTGGGTTGTAAGCTGTGGGATGTCATGAGAGGAGTGACTGTGGAGTCTTTAACAGGACAGCTGTCCAAAAAATGGCAATTTTCTAGAATGCATGGACAGCAAATTGCACACTGGGTGAGTAATAGCAGACTTGGGACCTTTATTAGAGCTGCACCACTTAAGGTGGTTTGGATCTGAGTGCATCCGCATGCACCCATTGCAGACACACAGATCCATTATTGCCTGCCATGTGGAATATTTTGTGTTTGAGACGTTAACTTGGCTTTGGCAATTCACAATTTCACAGCCAAAGTATCGCCTTCGAAAGAAAACTGCAAGTTTAGTTTCCAGTTTTTGTAGGAAAAGTTGTCCACCATGTCACTGTGGTCTGTTTTCTGCATTCAGAACTGGAACTGTGCTGCTGTTCTCTGTTCTCTGCTGACAGACAGCACAGTCACAGAGCAGCTCCATATGTCTTGGAAAAATACGCACAGAAAAGTGTCTGGGACATGTCTTTGGGTTCTGCAGAGATTTTCTGTGGTGTTCCATGTGAAATAACCAGCTTTTAGCACACATGCATTATTCTCTGGACTTTCTGAAAAGATTTTAGGGTCCTTTGGACTCAAAACTACTTTTCAGCCAAAGGTTTTTATTTAAGTAATTACTTAATTAATAAATTACTGATTTACTTTCTAATGAGAAACCAATCTTTTAATGTTTTTCTTGTTCTTCCTTTTCTCTTTTAAAATGATTGCTAGCATGTGTACTTCTAGCTTGTTGCAGCAGTCATTGAGATGAGTTCCTGTAGAATATGAGTGAAAGTTGGAGCTGTGCATGGCCCTTGACTTCTGTTTGACATTGAGCTGAACCAAGGACATCTGTGATGTGTTTGTCATTTACAGTGCCTGAAGGATTGATAATAAGTGCAGGGTGAAGATGCAGCCACAAAACAATGAGCTGCCTTTGCTCCTGTGGCTTTCTCTGGAGGTTCAGAATCCTCTTGTGAATGAAGAGTGAGGACAGTGTTGATCTACCCTTTGTCAGCTCACAATGCAGACTTGTTACACACAATTACATAATTTGTGTGTTTTAAGGAATAATCACTGGTGGCCTCTCTCAATCTGAGCACTTCGTATCACAAGCAGTTGGCTTTGTAGCATTATTTAGCACAATTCTTTCCCTTCCCCACTTTGAGGAATTGCTGCTTTTTGCCAATTTACTGCTCTGCAAGCACAGGTCCACAGGATGTTTTGAACACAGTGGACCATGTCCCTGTTATCAGCATTAACCAGAAGCTGATCTGTGTTCCCATTCTTCCCCACAATGTCCAGGCAGTCAGTGCCCCACAGATCTAACAGAACCCTGTGGTGAAATGCTGTGAAATGCAATATCTGTGTGTAGATTCTGGTGCACTTTGTCACATCCAGTCCCGTCTGCAGCAATTAGGAGCTGTTCTGCCTTACCACACTATGTGTCCGTGTGTCATTGATGATGTATTTATGAAACCACCTAAATGTTGCAATTTTTAAAATCCTCTCTAATTTTTTTATTCACATGACAGCCCAAAACAGCTCCGAAAAGGACATTTGGATCCATTACAAATGACCAGGTAAATATCCACAGTAGGGAGTGTTCAACAAGAAAGTTTCATTATTTGAGAGACTGTGTGTGCAAATCCATGGAAAAGGCTGTGATGAAAATTGGATAACAGAGCTCCTTATTGCCCTGATAAAGGATCTTGTGAGCAGGGTCAGAACCTCTTTAAGCTAATCCAGGCTCTGAGATGGGCATAACTTTGCTTTGCCTCCAATAGTTAGTGCTTAAATTGTGTTTTTAAATCTAAAAAGTCAATCTTGTATTTCTCACTCCCATTCTTCTCTAAGGATGGTGATATATCAATTGAGCAGATTATTTCTGCAAGTTGTTTTAATGGGCAAAGGTATTCTATAACTGTTAATTATCCACTGTGCTTTTCCAGTGGACTCTTGCCCTTCCCAGTGTGAACAAATCCTTCAGATCTCTGGGATAATGTGGTGACTGAGGTGCAGTTCAGTCCCAATAGAGATATGACCCTAATGGAAATTTTAACTTCACTGAACTTTTAATGATGGTAGAGCTATTTACTTCAACATGAAGAAATTAATCCTGAAGGGTTTTGTTCATGTTTCTCACTTTAGTTCTCAATTTCTTTGCTCATAATGGAGAGAATTAGATATTTATAATTTTAAAAATGTATTTCTTGGATGTTTAATCAAATTTTTTTGACTGTTTAGAATGTGAGAACTATCTGTTCTTAGAAAATGTGTTTGTTAATTTGCAGCATTTCACACCTAACCTTATCTCTTAAACAACTTGAAATATTCTTGTTTCAACAAATTGAAATAGTTACTCTTGTTAGAATTAAGAGAAAGTCTCCTTCTCTGTAATGGTTTTTCTGTAGTTTAAAAAGATGTCTGAACCTGCAATGAATAGGAAGAAATAGACGTAGATAATATTTCTTTCCACAGAAAATTATTCATGTGTTAATAATGAACTTGGAAGAGATCTTCACATTCTTTTCTGCTCTCCAGCCATTCACAGCTAAAAATGGGGAGCTAAAGCACCACATTTTATATCAAACTCATCTGCTGTGATGAAAAGCCCCTCTCCCATGCTGGATGAGGGAAGCAGAGATGGGCACACACACGTACAACCACGTGAATTCAAAGTCTGTCCCAAGTTCTCCTAGCTGTGGGATCTAATGGCAGAATAATCAGCGCCCATCTGTCAGCCTGTGTACAAATAAAGAGGCAAAGAGAGCTGACAGGTTGCTTTTACTCTGGCTTCTGTTATTTTCTTTCCTCTGGAATCTATGGTAAAGCATAGAATATATAATTTATAATTTCTTTGTAATTATGGAACTTATTGCAAATAACTGCTAGCCAGATTGAATATGAGGAGGAAACTCACGCTCTGCTTTCTATCAGCGTACAATTACCATTCTAAAATTTACCCTAATTGGTTCAAAATGTATATCTTGATTTAGAAACAATTTGCAGGGCTTATATTTTCATGCCTTCTGCTAAAGAAGCCAAATCTGTGTTTGTTTTACTGCTTCAAAATGTGTTCCAGTTTACTTTATACTGTCCCCAGCTGCAACTTAATGCTGCCACAAATGCTGTGCAAGTGGCACAGTGATTTTTGCATGTGGATGCATGTGTGCATCCACTGTGTGGACGAACAGTTCTGCCCCATGAAATAAAAGATGGCTTATCTAGGGTCAAAATCTGGCTTTGAGGACCAAATCAGTGAGAGTTCAGCCTCACTCAGAAGTTTGTAGAAGCTACAAATGCATTCACTTAGTGGTGGGGAACAGGGAACACAAATCTTTTGCAACTCATGGGAAATGAGCAGTCTTGAATACTGGGAATATTTTCTTTTGCTTTGTTCTGGAGTGTCTCAAACCAATTCAGAGCACAACTGGACCTGGTCCAGTGGAAATGAGAGGATCTTTAAGGTCCCTTCCAGCGCAAACCATCTATGATCCTATAGCAGTTACCTGAGTAGAGGTGAAAGAGAAGGATAAACAGAGGAAGAACAGTTGTTCATTATTCCAAATATTACACATTAAAATGAACTCCTAGTTAGTCCACAATTTTATTTATGCCTTCTTTTTTCTGGTCATCCCATGCATTCAGCATTAGCCATCTGCATTCTAGCCCTGCCCTTGTGGAAGTTGTGGCTGGAAAACTGTCTTTACATCATTCCTCTATGTGGTGAGATATGAGAAAAGAGGATAATTAGACTGTTCTGCATTCCTGCTTGTCTGAAGAGACAGCAGAAGAGAGAGGGAATTTAGTTCTAGATTCCAATATTTATTTTAGCAGATTTGTCAGCACTACTGTTTTTTTTAAAAAGCTGTGTTTGTGCAATATATGTAGCATTTTGGTGCAGTTCCAGAGATGTTCAACAAACCCCATGAAAAATATTGATAATTTTCAAATTGATCTCGCAGTTCTGTGATATTTTTGAAATGAAAATAAGTCTTTTTTTCACTGGGACTGTAATTTCACTACAAATATAAAACATATAGTGATGAATGCAGGAATAGTTTTAATGAGTTTTTAAATATATTTCTGATGAACTGTTAGGATTTAGTTTTGTCTGTATCATCTGACATCTAAATTATGTAGTAAGCACTTGATCGATGATGGTATTGGTTTGGTGGGGTTTTTATGTTTGGTTGGTTGGGTTTTTTTGTTTTGGTTTGGTTTTTTATGCTAATGGTTTCAGATCATGTCCAGAGTTGCTCCACAGAGAAATAATCCCTTTATTTTTGTTGGTTTCCTTGAAATTGAATATTGGAATAGGTCCTCCAGTGACTGAACTTTGGCTTCATTCCTCATTTCCACACTCACTCATACAACAGAGAAACTGAATTACATCAGTACAGGAATTTAATAACCTTTCTTTAGGAATAGAAAATCTGGATGAAAAAAATCACCATCACTCTTACATTTCCCCTTTTTCTAGAGTATCTGTTTATTGCCATGTTTGCTCTGAAGCTTTCTCAAGGCTCTGGAGCTTAAAGCAAAACTAGATATGGAAAAATAAGCATAAATATAGAAATATATATTCCTGTATAGAGCATGTGCATGAATTTATATTCCATGACAATTTCAGAAAGATAATGTTTTTTTTTTTTTTAAATACACTGTCAAGCTAAAGTGTGTTCTTTCTGTGTCTCGTAGGGTCAAAATGTATTTGGTCTTGACATAACTGAGACACCCGAGGGAGACAAGTGGCCTCAACTGATAGTCCAGCAGATCCTGGACAGGGAGCAGAAGGACACCTATGTGATGAAAATCAAAGTGGAAGACGGCGGGAGCCCCCCGAGGTCCAGCACCGCCATCCTGCAGGTGACGGTGACCGACGTCAATGACAACCGCCCGGTGTTCAAGGAGAACGACGTGGAGGTCAGCGTGCCCGAGAACGCCCCCGTGGGCACCTCCGTGTCCCAGCTCCACGCCACCGACGCCGACCTGGGCTCCAACGCGCAGATCCACTTCTACTTCAGCAACCAGATCTCCAGCCTGGCCAAAAGGCTCTTTGCCATCGACAACACCACCGGGCTCATCACCATCCGGGAGCCGCTGGACAGGGAGGAGTCCCCCGTGCACAAATTGACTGTTCTGGCGAGCGACGGCAGCTCCACTCCCTCGAGAGCCACGGTGACTGTTAATGTCACAGATATCAATGACAATGTCCCGTCAATAGACACCAGGTACATCATCAACCCCGTGAATGGGACGGTGCTTTTGTCTGAGAAGGCTCCCCTTAATACAAAAATTGCTTTGATAACAGTGATGGACAAGGACGCTGATCAGAATGGGAAAGTTACCTGTTTTACAGATCACGATGTTCCTTTCAGGCTAAAACCAGTGTTTGATAATCAGTTTCTCCTGGAGACAGCCACCTTTCTAGACTATGAAGCTACACGGGAATATGCCATCAAAATAGTGGCTTCAGATTCAGGGAAGCCTCCCTTAAACCAGTCTGCAATGCTGCTGATCAAAATTAAGGATGAAAACGACAACGCCCCGGTGTTCACCCAGCCCATCATAGGCCTTTCCATCCCTGAAAACAACGCTCCTGGCACTCAGCTGACCAAGATCAGCGCTACAGACGCCGACAGCGGGCGGAATGCCGAGATCAGCTACATCCTGGGTCCTGATGCTCCCCCAATTTTCAACCTGGACCGCCGCACAGGCATCCTGACGGCAGTGAGAAAGCTGGACAGAGAAAAGCAGGACAGGTACTCTTTCACTGTGCTGGCTAAGGATAATGGGATGCCACCTTTGCAGACCAATGCCACCGTGACGGTGTCAGTGCTGGACCAGAATGATAACAGCCCTGCTTTCACACATAATGAATATAATTTCTATGTGCCGGAGAACCTGCCCATGTATGGCACGGTGGGGCTTATCACAGTTACGGATGCTGACGCGGGAGACAACGCTGCAGTCACTCTCTCTATCTTAAATGGTAGAGATAATTTCATTATAGATCCCCTCACGGGTGTAATAAGGCCTAATATTACCTTTGATAGGGAGCAGCAGGGGTCATACACTTTCCAGGTGAAAGCAGTGGATGGAGGAAGACTGCAGCGTTCCTCAACTGCCAAAGTGACCATCAATGTTGTTGATGTAAATGATAACAGGCCTGTTTTTGTTATTCCCTCCTCTAATTACTCCTATGAGCTGGTCCCAACGTCAGCCAGCCCGGGGTCTGTAGTCACCAAAGTGTTTGCAGTTGATAATGACACGGGAATGAACGCAGAGCTCCGCTATAGCATCATAGGTGGGAACTCCAGGGGCTTGTTTACCATTGACCAATTAACAGGCAACATCACTTTGAAAGAGAAGGTAATCACATCAGACCATGGCCTGCACAGACTGGTGATCAAGGTGAACGACCTGGGACAGCCGGAGTCTCTTTACACCATAGCTCTTGTGCACTTGTTTGTGAACGAGACGGTCACCAACAGCTCCTACGTGCAAGAGCTGGTGCGTAGGAACATGGAAACTCCAGTTGGCCAGAACATTGGGGATGGTGAGATAACCCCACAGACCAATGATTATGTCAAGATCATCATTGCCATTATTGCAGGCACCATGACAGTTATTCTGGTAATTTTTGTTACCGCCTTAGTCCGCTGCCGCCAGACGCCCAGGCACAAGGTTGTCCAAAAAAATAAGCAGAGTGGTGAATGGGTTTCCCCCAACCAAGAGAATAGGCAGATCAAGAAAAAGAAGAAGAAGAAGAAGCGCTCTCCAAAGAGTCTCCTCCTCAACTTTGTGACTATTGAAGAATCTAAGCCTGATGATCCTGGCCACGAGCACATAAATGGCACTTTAGACATTCCCGTAGAGCTAGAAGAACAGACTATGGGAAAATATAACTGGGCCACCACACCAACCACATTTAAACCCGACAGCCCAGACTTAGCAAAGCACTACAAGTCTGCTTCTCCGCAGCCTACCTTTCAAATTAAACCTGAGACTCCTGTACCCCCCAAGAAGCACCATGTCATTCAGGAATTGCCTCTAGATAACACCTTTGTGGTGGGCTGTGACTCGCTTTCCAAGTGCTCATCCAGCAGCTCGGACCCTTACAGTGTTTCTGAATGCAGCTGTCAAGGAGGCTTCAAGACCCCAGGCCCCATACACACCAGACAGGTAACGGAATTTTTAAGGTGTTTTTTCCCTCCTTCCCTCCTTACTTTGCCTATCCTGTAACTCCAGTTTGAAGCGCTGCAAGATAAGTTCTCCTGCAAGGAGTCAAGCTTTGAGAGTCGAGGCGTTGTAAAACAAACAGTTCCAGCTTCCTGAGCGGTAAGGGAGGAAATGGGGAGGGGAAAGAGCGTTGTCTGTGAGGGGACGGAGCAGGCAGAGCTCCCTGTGGTGGTGTCCTGACTGCAGATGGCAGCATGGCACTTCCCACCTCACCTTGAGCAGCTCGCAGGGCTCAGGGTGGGACTGTCCCCCCCAGCCTGGTGTGCTCGAGCATCCAAACGAGCTGGGGGGAAAGCAGTGAAGCTTTAGAGGAGCTCATAAGTGGTTCTTAATACTAATGGAGTCTGGGATTGCAGCCTTCGTTTGGGCGTAGCTTTGCTTCAAGGTCTCTCAGGAGCAGGAGAGGATTTTCCTCCGAGAGTTTGAGGCATTTTCAGACTGGAAGGAAGCCTTAAGTCTGGTGGAATGACACAGCTGACAGGCAAAGTTAGGGAAAAATTAGAAGCATCAGCATAATTGAGCTTACTTATTTGCTGCTCTGCCTGATAAACCAGGTATTAGCTCCTCAGAAATGCAGTACAACCAAGGGAATGTCTAAAGAATCCTCAGCTTAAAATTAAAAATAAATTGAGAACTCAAGCACCCTTTATTCTTCAAGACCCTACAGAAAAGCTTTAAGTCACTGGAAATAGAATCTAATATTTATCCATATTTTGAACAGTTTAATAAAACTTTTCTGTTTTTTCTGTTTGCTACTCTTTCTTCCCAAGTATCACAGAGGGTTCAGTGGGTATAGTTTTCTAGTTGGTTAAGGAATTAATCATAAAGTAACACTTCAGGAGTGTTTATTTTATTATTGATAATGTATTTTAACTTGATAATATGCTTAACTCAATATATTGCTTGGGAGCAAATCCTCAGCATGACTTAAGTCTGGTGAATTTCTTCCTCCAGCTGAATTTTTTTCAGGGCGCTTTGTTTTATTACAACTGTAATGATAACAACATGCTTAGGCTTCTCATTCAGAGCAGTCATCACATCTTTGAAAATTTCAGGATATGTTGTTTCTTTTATTCTATTTAATTCCCTTTACCAACAATAATTTGTATGGTGATCTATATCACTGTGGATAACATTTTTTAAGCAACGTATTTAGGTGTGTTAAGCTAAATTGCATATCAGAAAATCCTCTTGCCAGTTTGTTCATCTGTTTGAACTCCCATCACTCTGAGCAGAGGGCAGTGCTGTTTCCAGCATTTCTGTAGGTCTGATCTAAGTGATTTTTGTCAATGGAGTTCTGGTGCAGTTCCTGTGAGTCGAAAAGGTTCTGCCATTGTCTGCTGAAACCCACTTTGTCCTACAGTAATGCTGCCAACAAAGAAAGCAAGCTCGTGGCTCTCAGGGTCCCTTCTGTGGCAGTGAAAACCCAGAAAGTGGCATGGGAAGCAATTCTCTTCTGCAAAGTTGGTTGGGGGAAAGAGCATTTCCTTTTATCTGTGCCTTAAAGGTCTGTGACAGGGTTTCCTATCTGGAAAAGCAGAATAGAACTGTGGGGTTTTATTAATGCTCACTAGCTGGTACCAGCTTATCTTCATAGAGCTGCACCTAACATTGTTAGGATGATATGGTGAATGGATAAAAAAAGAGATTATTGTTACAGCTTGCACTGATTTTGTTACAATTGCAGCTATTCTTCTCTAAGGGATATTTTTCTGCATGAAAGTGAACACCTTGTTTTGAGGAAGGGTAACTAATCACCACAATGGCCCTTTACACTAATTTGGAAAGAGCAGTCACCTTTAAACACATGAATTCACATTAAAAAACAATTATATAATTTCATTAATGCATTATACACATAAGTTAGGCCATTAGAGAAAATCCTGTGTGTTGTGTTTGACTGTGACTAAATGAAAATTGTATTTTTTGGTAAGCAAATACAAGTAAAGAATTTCTTTAAGCTCAACAGATCTTTTAAAAGTCACTCTCACTCCTAGCCTGTATTTGTAGTCTGGGTAGTTTTATCTCTTGTGGGGCTCAGGATGGGCTACTTGAGAGTTGTCTCTGTTAATCAGCAAAAAAAAAAAAAAAAAAAAAACCCAAAAAACCAAAAAAACCCAAATATAAACAGAAATAATCCTGAGGCACAGAAATGTCTCCAGCTGCTGTCCCAGCACCCTTCAGCCTCAGACACCAACAGGATCCCTGTGGTTCTGGAGGATTTTGTGTCAGGCACTCTCTGAATTTGCTGAAAACTCTAGGACAAGTCAGCTCAGTTAAAAAGGGAGATGCGCCAGTTTGAGAAGTGAAAATAAAATGCCTGATGTGAGGGGGAAATATCATCATTTACCAGTTTTACCATAGTGCAGCTATTTTACAAGCCAAAAGTTCTGAAGGAGCCTAAAGAATGTTCTGTTCACTGTGAAGTGTCTCTTCAGTTTGTAATGGGGACTGATATTATTATAGGCTGCACATCTCAGCTATTGTTAGGTTTGTTCATGCAAAGTTTTCTACTCAGATATTTGAAATAATATTGTGTTGCAGCTAAAAATATATGTTTTCTTTGGAAGCTCTAAATTTTGTCTGTCTGAATGGTATTGATTCGAGTCTTTAAAGAAAGGAAATTATGCCTTTGCTTTACTGCTAAATTTGTCTAAGTGATCTATAAAATGACAGAAACTCATTATGGCAGTTGTACTCAAAAAGCATGCAAGCAGAGAGGGAAAGGTTTTTCTACTAAAAACCCCCAAAATATCTCTTTAGTGGTCATGTGGGCAAATAAATACAGCAGTGCCACAGCTGAAATTTTTGTGGGGAAGCAATTGGAGACTCCTGAAGCAGCTGAGGACACTTTGAATCATAAACTGCAGGAAACTGAAGAGGGAAAGTTTGTTTTTCCTGCAATGTCCCCTAAGAGAGAGGTCAAATTTTGTTCTATTTGTGTGAGAGAGGACAAGGGGCAGAGGTGCTGGTATTACTCTGAAGTTACAAGGAGGAGTTAAACACTACTAGTGACAATAGACCCTCAGAGTAATATTTTTGGGGGATGTAGTAGAGATAATTCTTTTAAAGGAGTTTCACCAAGTGATAAATTGTGAAGGGGCTTATTCTTCATAATAAATCTCTTCAAATAGGATGTCTAGAGTGTTATAAAAATCAACCTGACTTTCCATGCCATCAGATTTCCAGTGTTTTGGCACTTGTGGGCTTCAGAAAAGTTTTGTTTGGTGCAGAAACACAAAGCATCTTTAAAGTTTATTTGTCTGCAAGCTTTGTAAGAGCTCAGTTATTTTTGACGTTCACCTCAGTGGGAGCAAAGTGTGTGAAGTGTTCCACAGTGACACAGATCTTCTAATTCTCTTTGCATTTGCATGGGGATGATGAGAAGAAGGGAGAGAGGAGTTTGCTTCAGTCTCATTTTCATGTAACACGATTTCAAAATCTGAAATCTTTGCTCATGCACTTTAAAACAACATTCAGACATTTCAAATGCCTGCCTAGGTATCAGCCTGTCTAGTCAAAACATGAATAATTATAGAGCACAGTGTTACCTGTGGCAGCTTGATTCAAAGAAGCTAAAGCTGCAAAGATTCACCAGAACCTGCAGTGCGTTCTATTCTTCTTGTCCCTTTCTTTTACTGAATGATATTTCAGATGTGGAAACCAGTAGAATGCGTACAACAGGACAGGGGAAATCTTGGCAAATTTTCACCTGGTCACTCAGGTCCTTTTGAGTCGTCATCTTCAACTCCAGAACAAGATTTTTCTGACTTGAGGAACTTTAGTGCCCACTAAGGCAGCACCTGTGCCAGTGCAGGATCTGGAAGGTGCAATGTGCTCTGATCTGGGATTTTCTGCTTTTTTGGGGGGTTCTCCCTGCACCCCACAGGTCTCTGGTGTGTCAGTGGGTTCAGCTGCACCACGTTGGGGAAGCTGCTGAGGGAGGGAGCAGGCATGGAGATGGATTTCTGTCACTTTGCTGATGCAGATCTTCATTAGTGGAGTTCAGCCGGCAGGATTCTCTCATCTATGAACTTACCCACACTCATGAATAGAAATTTCAGATAACACCATGATCTTTGCTGGTTTGTTAGGAGCTGATGGAGGCAGACCTTGCACTCTTTACAGAAACCTGAATGGAAAGTAGCCCTCATTTCAAATATATTGAATTTTGGGACCCCACTGCCTCAATTCTGTGATTCTATCACTGCCTGCTTAGACCTGCTTGAAGTTATGGGGTGTTTGGGTTTCTGATTTAAAATGTGCTGTAATGTCATTACACTGTGAGAACAGTGGGCTCAAGATGTGAGTGGAAGGAATATTGCAGGAATATTGCAGTGTTCCAGAAAAGAACAGCTCTGAAATTCACCTGTTCTATCAATATTTAGCTGCAGGATTTTTTGTTTTGTGTAATAACAGTGAGTTTAATTTAGAATCCTGTAATCATCAGTAGGCAAGGCTGATGCTCTGAAGTGTAAAACAGACATAGCACTGGTGTTCTGTATTGGCAGATACAGAGTGAATTACACTCAAAGAACATTTTCTCCTAAAGTTTAGCTGAATAACTGTTGGTATAAGCCCATCCTAAAAGCCATTTCAAAATGGATTACTGTGATTCTAAGTATTCTTGTTATTTTACCTTACTTTTCTGACTGGTAATTTTGCTCATGGTTCTGATCTGCTGCCATGTACACTCATTTCACCAAAAAAAGAAAAAAATAATAATTTGGAGAAGAGATTTCTAATTGAAATATGAGTCAAAGTGTGCAAGTCAGAAGTTAACAAGCAATTATTTAAATGGGGATCACTACTGAAGTAAAGCTGGTCAAGAAAATGCTTTTCCTCTGTGCAACATTGGTAGAAAATCTTCAGTGATTTCTTTTAATACTTTTCACTAGAAAAGCATGGAGGGAGGTATCAGCAAAGTGCCTCCTTTGTCTCAT